GGAGAACATCATTCTGAGTGAGGTTAGCCTGGCCCAAAAGACCAAAAATCATATGTTCTCCCTCATATGTGGACATTAGATCAAGGGTAAACACAAGGGGATTGGACTTTGAGCACATGATAAAAGCGAGAGCACACAAGGGAGGGGTGAGGATAGGTAAGATAACTAAAAAATTAGCTAGCATTTGTTGCTCTTAACGCAGAGAAACCTATTTGCCTTTGGTATTTTTCATTTAGGGTCTTTCAATTTTGCCTACGGCTGGCCTCCAAACATGATCCTCTTACCTCTGCCTCCCATGCAATTGGGATTACAAGCATGAGCTACCATACCTGACTTGTTCTTTCAGGTAGAATCTTGCTACCTTTTTGACTGGGCTGGCTTCCAACTATGATCCTCTTATCTCTGCCTCCCATGTAACTGTCCATCCATGCTGGGTATATAATTCTAATTTTACATTTTTTGTTTTTTCTTTCTGCATTTTGTATGAAAATACAACAAACTGTTGAAACTGTTTTGAGAAGGGTGGGAGGGAGGATGAGGGAGAATGATGGGAGGGGTGAATCTAACCAAGTTACATTGTAAACACCCCTGTACAAATAATTTCATCAAATTATGAATCCATCAGTGGGTTAGTCCATTGATGAAGTCAGTACTCTCATGATCCAATCACTTTCCAAAAGCCCCACCTCTGACCTTTGCACTGGGGACCAAGCATTTAATACACGAGTTTTGTGGGGGGATATTTCATATGCAAACCATAACAACATATTTTGCCTGACCTCAGGCCCAAAGCAATGGATCCAGTTGACCTTGGACTGAAATGTGTGAAATTATGAGCCAAAAATAAATTTTTCCTCCTTTAAGTTGATTTTCTCAAATATTTTTTCACAGTGACAAATAGCTAACACAATGAGGATGAAATGTAAAATTATGAAAATGTTTTAATATACTTTCTAAAGTTTTATAACTTACTCTCCAATGAATATGTGTATAGTTTATAATTTCCCTTATATAATAATAATAAACCTGATCTTTTCTATAAAACATGACTGATCTGGAATATTATTTTTCTCATGATACAGTATCTAGGAAAATTAGGCTCTCCAGTTTATTAAATTGATAGCATCTCCTGAACATAAGTGCTCTGACATAAAATGATTCAACTTCTTTCCAAAGGATTCCTAAAGTTGCTACATTCAGTTTTGACCCTTCCATAAATTGTTTGATGGACAGTGTATCACAGCTCCTAGATGGGGAATTTATCATGTTTATTATATGCCTTGACTGTTATAACACTGATTTTTCTTAAATCTAAGGAGTCTGAGCTACGTCTAAGCAATATCTGAAGGCTTTCTGATGATTATTTGATTTACATTACTTTCAGTGAATTCTTTGATACACAGTATAACAATGTAAATGTAATGGATAAAGTTATCCACACAAAGGTTTATTAATAGGCTTTAGATTTTATCACCCAAATTACTTCTTTGATGTTTAATGAGGGATATCCTCCCATTGAAAGCTTTCCCACAGTCTCTGCATTCATAGTACTTCTCTCTTGTATGAGTTCTATGATGAACAATGGGTTGATTTCACACTGAAAGATTTTCCATATTCATTACATTCATAATTGCATGAATTCTTTGATGTCTAATGAGAGTTGACTTCCTGCTGAAAGCTTTCTCATACTCACTACATTTATAAGATCTCTCTCCTGTATGAATTCTCTGATGTTTAATTATCATTACCTCCCAGACAAATGTTTTCCCGTATTCACTGCACTCACAGGGCTTCTCACCTGTATGGTCCTCTGGTGTGCAGTGAGGGTTGTTTTCTAGCTGAAGGCTTCTGCACATTCACAGCGCTCGGCTTCTCTCCAGTGTGAGTCCTTTGATGTACAACAAGGTTTGCTTTCTGGATAAACACTTTTCCACATTCAGTACATTCGTAGAGTTTCTCCCCTGGTTGAATTCTCTGACTTTTATTCAGAGAATTCATTTATGGAGGAGGGATTTTCCTCAATGACTGGGCTCAAAGAAGTTCTCTGAAGGTTGGATTTAATCAAGATGGAAATGAAGACATGATTTCCAATATGCTTTACAGCTAATCATCTTTCTTTCTTCCATAGCTTCAGTTTTAGCTAAGAAAGTTTAAATTATGCTTTGAACACCTTCTCCATGAATAATATTTAGGGAGTCTTTGTCTTAGAGAAGCAAAGTCTCTGCCAGTTCTGCCTTCCTGACCACACTCATCCTTCAGTGTTTCCTCATCTATGAACACAGCATGCCACAGAGGTTTGTCTTGGCTTTCCTTTTGGTTATCTATCTGCTCTTTGACTTTACCAGACTTCTAGGAAAGACAATGTGATGAATCATCAAACTTGTAAGTCTTTCTACTATAATGATTGGGATAACATAAATCCCTAAATGTCCTGTGGTGAACTCTTATCAACATGACTTGAGCTGATGTGATGGATCCTTCCCATGTCCCATCACCCTCATCCCTCCAACTGCAAATGCAAAGAAATGCTGGCCCAAATTTAACAAAAATATTGTAATATGTAGCCAAGCTCAAAACCGAGAAAAGAAATTTTTTAGGTAACAGAAATGAAGAGATTTAAAGCAAGAGATGGTGAATAAAAACTGAATCTGTATGCTTTGCAGTTGGGAGACTAAGGCTTTAATCGTGAGTATGGAGTTAATTCCAGGTCACATGGCATAAACGTGCAAAGAGTTAGAACTGAGCTACCAGTTTAAAGCTAGGAGTCACAAAAGCCATCTCTATTTGTAAACCAGGAATTAGAAAGATGTTAACCCACTATTTGCAAGAAGAATGAAGAGTTATTTATAAGTAATCAGAATCCTAGTCCTGTACCACATATGGAATGCATTCTGAATGACATTTGCAACATAATACAAACCCTCAAAATTGAAAAATTCACCTAAAAATTGGTCTTGCTTTAGTGAAACCAGTGGGTGGGTTCCCTATCTAAATAGTTCTGCAGTGATGGTTTCATACCTTATGGTATACAGAATTTCCATGGAAAAGAACTCTCACTGAAAGGGAGTCTAAGGTGATAATTTTTAAACTTCAAAAGGAAATGAACGTGAATTAGTTGAAAACTTATGTCCACAGAAAAGTCTACACATGGGCATTTATAGAAGCCTTATTCATAATGGCTCCAAACTGGAAGCAATTAAGATGTCCTTCAATAGATGAATGGATAAGCAAAACTGTCACATTCACACAATGGAATATTATTCAGCAATAAAAAGAAATGAGCTCTTAATCCATGAACAGACATGGAGGAAACTCAAATGTACATTGTTACTTGAAAGAAGCCAGTCAGTCTGAAAGACTATATATGATATGATTCCAACTACATGGCATTCTGAGAAAAGTAAAACTATAGAGATAGTAAAAAGATCAGTGCTTGCCAGGAGGGAAGGGCAAAAGCATGAAAGAGTAAAGCACAGGGATTTTAGGCAGTACAATTATTCTGTATGATATATTAATGGTGGACTTTTATGCAGTTGCCAAAATCCACAGAACTGAACAACATAATGAGTGAACCTTAGTGTAAAATATGAACTTCAGTTAATAATAATGTATCAACATTCACACATAAATTGCAGTAAGTACAAATGTAAGATATTACTATTAGGGAGAGCTAGATAAGAAGAGAGGTGTATAAGTTTCTATACTAGGTAGGTGTTAATTTTTAAAAATGTAAAGAGATGGAGGTATACCATGAAACCTAGTCAAAAGAAAGCTGGAGTAAACTACATTAATTTTAGACAATTACTTCAGAACAAGAAAATTTTTCTGGGACAAAGAAGGACATTACAAAATGATAAAATGTTAATTCTTCAAGAAGCAATGAAAATCCTAAAAGCATATATACCTAATAATAGCACTTCATAACACATGAGGCAAAAATGGATACATCTGAAAGAGAAACAGACAAATCCACAATTATTGTTGGAGACATTGATGCTTTTTCTCTCAATAATTGATAGAACAAGTAGACAGAAAACTAAGAAGAATATAGATAATGTGAACAGCACTATCATCCAACTCCACCTAATTGACATTTATAAAAGTATATCTAACAACAGCAGAATATTTCAAGTGCATATGAAGCATTGACCAAGATAGACCATATTCTGGGTCTTAAAATAAACTTTAAGAATTTTGTAAGAAATAAAGTTATGTGCAATAATAGTATTAAGCCAGAAATCAGTAAGATACTTGTAAAACTCCAAATATATGGTATTTTTTAAAGATATACTTACTTCTAAATAAGTTTTAAGGGAAATTTTAAAACATTTTAAATAAAAATGAAAATACCACACATAATTTGTGAGACACAGTGAAAACAGCATTTGGAGGGAAATTTATAGTATTGAATGCATACATTAGAAATGAAGAAAGAAGTGGAAAAATAAAAATTAGAATAGAAATCAACAAAGTTTAAAATAGGAATGTCCTTCAAAGGATGAATGGTTAAACTGTGGTAACACCCATTTGGTGAATTACCTTCTTAGAGACTGAAAAGAAGAAACTATTGGTACACATAACAGGATGAATCTCCAGAGAATTATGCCAAGTGAAAAGATCCAATCCCATAAAGTTTAATACTGTATGATTCCCACTTACATGATATTCTTGAAATGACAGAATTAAAGAAATGTAGAACAAATTACTAGTAGTTGCCAGGGCTTACGGAAGAGTTGGGGTACATAATATAAAGTATCCTTGTGGTGATGGAAATGTGTTCTGTATCTTGACTTTATCAATGACAATACCCTTGCCATGATTTGTACTATAGTTTTTCAAGATGTCACCAGTGGGGGAAACTGGGTAAAGAGCACATGAGGCTTTTCTGTAGTATTTCTCACAAGTGAATAAGAACCTATAATTATATGAAAATTAAAGTTTAAATTTTTAAAAAATAATCACATATTCCAAAGAGAATAAGAATGGTAAAGCAGAAAAACAAAACAAAAGGGGGAGGAACAGACATAATAGCAAAATAATAGGCCTAAATCCAGTAGTATAAACAGTTAGATAAAATGCAATAGTCTAAAAGAGGAAAAATGAAATCAAATCAATTGATCCATAAAAATCATGTGGAACATTCATTATTTTCAAAATTCTCAACCAGGATTAGAAGAAAACAACCTCATCTATGAAAAACCTACCGGTAAAATTATACCTAATGGTGAGCAAGTAAATGCTTTTATCCAAGATCGGGATTGAGGCAAGTATGTTGGCCACTCTACTCTCTGTTGACATTATACTGAAGACCCTAACCAGTACGATAAAGCAAGGAAAAGAAGTAGAGGCATCCAAATTTGAAAGAAAGAATTTGTTGATTTTCACACTACATGACTATTTATGCAGAAAATGCCAAGCCATTTATAAAAGAGCTACTGAAACTAATATATGGGCTTAGAAAGGTCTCAGGATACAAAATCAATAGAGCAAAACAATTTATATTTCTATAAACTTGAATGAGAAATTGAAAAGCATACTGAATATGTATGTGTATATACACACCATTTGTATCATCTTATAAGAACATAAAACACAGTGGTAAGTTAAACAAAATGTTATAAGACCTGCCCATTTAAAAACTATAAAATATTACTAAGAAAATTTAAAAGACCTAAATAAATGGAGAGATATACCATATTCATGAATCAGAAAACTCAATATTATTGACATCAGTGATTTAGATTCATTGCAATCTCAAACAACAAACTTTCAGGCTTTTTTTTTACAGAAGTTAAAAGCTGATTCTAAAATTTATAAGAAAATACCAAGGACCAATAAAAGCAAAAACACTATGAAAAGGAAAAATCAAAGTTAGAGGACTTGCATTACCTGATTTGAGCACTCAATATGAGACTACAGTAATTAATACAGTGTGTTGGTAGCATATAGACTGACCCATACTTGTTCAAGTAATTTTTTTAAAAGGATGTCAAGGTAAATTAAGAAAGAATAGCCTTTTTAAAATTTTTACTGTAATAATTGGAAATACATATGCAAAATGTAATAAGACCCTCATACCTGATACTAAGTATCATAGACTTAAATACAAGAACTAAAATTATCAATCTCCTAGAATAAAACATATGAAAAAATATTTGTTATACTGGGTTAAAGACTTGCTAAATAGGACACAAAAAGCATGGCAGAAAATAAAATTTTTAAAAATTGGATTTCACCAAAAATAAAAACACTGTTAAGAACAAAATAAGCCACAAACTGAGAGAACAAATACTTGGAAAACACAGCTGGTAAGGACTTATATCCAGAATATATAAAGAACTCAGTTCAATAACAAAAATGGTAAAAGATTACAATAGACACGATCTCACTATGTAAGCTCAGGCTGACCTCTAACTCATTAACTCATGATCCTCCTGCTTTAGCCTCCAGAATGCTAGGATCATAGGCATGTACCACTATGCCCAGCGAAGATCAACAAACTTTAAATAAAGTTTTTTAACTTTTCACTACTACATTGAATTACATACTTTTTTGTTTGTTTGTTTGTTTCAGACAGGGTCTCATTATTTGGCCTCAAATTTGTGATTCTCCTACCTCGGCCTCCCAAGTGCTGGGATTACAGGTATGCCACTATGCCTGGCAGGATTGAACAATTTTTATTACTACAGTGAGGCTACTATTGAAACTAACATTCCTAGGAGATTTTTAATATCAGAATAACCAGAGAACTGCCAGAGATTTCATCTAGGAACAGGGAAAAATATTACAGTCCCCAAAATAGATTTAGTATGAAGGAATGGGGTAGAAATTCAAGTTGCTTTCTGCTTCTACCCCTGGGAGTTCAAAGGATTGTCTGGGGGTAAGTGCCTGTGCTCCTGTCTTCCCACCCGTCCTGATTCCATGAACCTGGATGATGGTCTTGCTATGCCTCCCATTTCCTTAGAATCCTCTCAGTAGATATTTTCAACAGTGCATCTTAACTAGACAGAGGCATCCGAATTCTCTGGAGTATTACTCAAAATATACATAACCAGGCCCACCCTAGGCTTTCAGAAACAGTTTATATAGAGTAGAATCTAGTCATGGGTATTCTCAGTAGGTATCTCACAGATATCTATGTGATACACACCTGGTTAAACCGGGAGGCTGAAACAAGAAGATCAAATATTCAAGCCTTGGTTACATAGTAAGACCCTGCCTTTTTTTAAAATTATTTTTTTATTATTGTGCTGGGGGAATATTGTGACATTTACAAAAGTTCTTACAATATATCATAGTTGAGTTCACCCCTCCATCATTCTCCTTTATCCTCCCTCCCCCCATTCCCAGAATAGTTTTAATAGGTAGGATCTTGCCTTGAAACACCAAAAAAAAAAAATAAAAAACACTTTCATATGGGTAACAATAACAGTAATAACATTTGTTAACAGCTTCCTTTATGCCAGACATCCTTTTAGGTGCTTTGCATACATCAGCTTATTAACTTCTGATAATCATTAAGTTTTATCATTAGCCCATTCTACAGCAAATGAAGAGAGACAAAGCAACATCTGCACAGTGACAGCTAGTGAGAGAAGTGGGCAGAATCTGAACCCAGGCAGTGTGGCTACAACATCCACACTTAGCCACTTTTATGTAGATAAATCACAAGTATCCTTCATCTTCCTGGGTCCAGCACAATCGGTATAATGCTTACTGAATATCTCCCTCCAAACTCCACTTTGGGTAAGTGAGAACAAGATGCTCTCTTGTCTCTGGTGGTTTGTGTTCTAGGTAAAGAAATAAACTGTAGGCATTTAGTTAGATTTTTAAAAATGTTACCATATGGAAGGCAAAAATAGAAATTTAGCTATACTGATTAAAGTGACAAATGTAATAAAAGAAATAAAAATAAGAATTTAACAAATGTGAAGAGCTGGAGAACAGAAGGCCACAGGGGAAGTGAGCTAAATCCTTATTTTTTGTAGAGGGGACATAATACTGAAAATTCAAGAAATTGAGGTTATAAAGGTGTTATGTAGACTTGTGGAGGTGCTCACCAGAATAACTGAAAGCACAAACCTTTAGAAAAGGCTTCCCTTGGGAAGTGTGACTAGGAATGCATCTAAGATGATTTTTTTATCCTACATTGTTCTACACTTAGACTGAACATGTCTACATCTATATTTTAAAAGAATGCAGTGTTTAATATAATGGCATTGTAACTCAGGAGGGCAGACTGTGCCTGAAAGTACCTTTCATCCCTTTCAGGATACTCATGAAATGAGAACAAGATGCACAATCATTACAACTCCAGGTATCACTGGAAATAAAGTATGCCATCAGCACTCCAGAAAGCATCATGCACATCTATCAGACAGCAGATATGGGATTGTGCTGAAGGCTTACAGTGTCTGGCCTGAAAGCTATGAGGACATTACAGACAAAAGAAAACATACCTAAGAGAAGCTGCAAAGCAGTCGGAGTCACACAGGTCAGCCCATGGAGACTATAGGAGAATAAGTGCATTTGCCAAGGGTAGCACTGGGCTTGGGCGAGGTCACCTATGGAGCCACCTGTAGGTTGCAGGACCAGTATCTGACTGGTCTGTGTTGAATCTCCAAAATGCAGTGTTTCTCAGAGTAAATCTGGATGGGCCTAAGTTTCTACACTTTCACTTTGAGCCCTGGCAATGCCCAGGCTGGTGGTCCATGGGCTATACCCTGAAGAGTAAGAGCATTCCAAACAGACCTCCTTGGAATGGACCCTTGGAGAGGGTACTTCAAATGGGAGAGAAAGAAAAGATGAAGAGATATGGATTTTCTAGATCCTATAAGCAGCCCAGAGCAAAAATGAATAACCAAACAAGGAAAAAAGCAGTTCTGCCCAGGACTGAAACATGGTTCACTGAAGCAATCTATCTGCAAGTAATGGTCTGTCACGTTTATTTATTTTTTGCATAAATAAAGTCATAGTAAAACAAAATAGTTCAGTGGGAAGGAAATACTGATAGGAGGAGTTGATAACAGGCAGCATCAAATTAGATTTTTAAGAATGTGATATTAAGAAGAAAAAATAGAAACAGTGTGAAGGTTTACAGTATTTGGCCTCAAAACAAGTCCTTAGCAGAGGAGAACATAGTGGGTACTGCACTGCTAAAGCTAAAGCTCACTAGCAAAGCCTGGTTGTCCATATTGACTCTAACTGAACAAAGAAGAATTTCCCTGTGGTTAAAAAGACAACTCCAAATTTCAGACTGAAAGGGCACACAGTATGGCCAGTAAAGAGGACATCAATGGCTTACCTATAACTGTTCTGGCAAAAAAATAAAAGTCCAAGAAGTGAGGGGAAGGGTGAGGGATGCGGGGTAGGAGTCCTAAAAGCTTTCAGAAAGGAGTGAGAATGGCCTTGGCACGTCTCACTAGCAAGCCAGGAGTCTGGAATGTAGAGATGGGATCTGAGAACAAGAATGGCCACCCTTTGTCTAAATATCAGGAAAAGAACATGGAGACTACAAGACTGACAGGCGGGGGCCTCATTTTGATATAACAATAGCTCTTTCATCAGACTAGAGTCATGACTACAAACCAGGGGGCTGAGATTGCTGCTGCAAGCATCTCATGGGCCAAGCTCACTGAAACCAGGACCCCTTCCCTATCCTGACTCACCTGGCATGTGCTCACCTGCACAGTTCCAAATGAAAGTTCCTCTATCAACCATCCAAGCCTCTTCTCCTTGTCTTGACCTGAAGGTCACATCTGGCTGGGCAGTTAGATACCCTGTCCAGGGAAATGACACAGGGCTTCATTATTAATGCTGGGAGCATTCCAGACCAAGGCCCATCCTCTGGCTGAAGATGGTACAGCCTCGGTAGCTGGCACACACATGGCCATTCACCCCTGAGTGGAGAACATTTACCTAGCAGGCAAGAGCACGAATGTTCTGCCCATCATCCAAATGGGACTAGGCATTCTTTGACAGTATACCTCATGCCCAATGTCACTGAGGGTGTCCACACCCCTGAGTTTGCACAGCCAGGACAGCAAGACACTACTAGGAGTATTGAATGTCAACTGTGCAGTGGTCCCTTACCTACGGACACCAGGTGGCTGTAGTTCTCGATCATGACATCCCTGCAGAGGTTCTTCTGAGCAGAGTCCAGTTGTTGCCAGTCTTCCAGGCAGAAGTCCACAAACACGTCCCTGAAAGTCAGTGATTCCTGCAAACAGCACATTCCTCTTTAGCACAAAGGGATCAGCCAGTGGGATGGGGACATGACACCTCCTACACACTGAGGACTTATTTTGTGCCCATTCTAAGTCCTTTACATGTACCAAGTCTAAGATTTTGATCCTTGCCAGCACCCTAGGAGAAACTTGACAACTGAGGAACATGAGGCACACAGAGCATAATGTAACTATACCAGGTCCATGGCTAGGAATTAGGAATCAAAATCTAACCCATGTGGTCTGGCTTCAGCAACCACTTTTAAAAACACTATAGCATGTTTTCGTTCTCAATACAATTGCTCTTATCATGTTCACTAGTTATAATTTGGCAAAATAATACATTACAGTAGCCCCCCATTATCTGTAGGAGATATGTCCTAAGACCTTCAGTGGAAGCCTAAAAGCAGGCAGTACTGAACTCCTTTATATACTATGTTTTATCCTATATATACATACCTATAGTGAAGTTTAATTTACAAAGCACAGGAAGTTATTAAAAACAGCAATAATAAATATATAATTATTACAATATACTCTAAGAAAAGTTATGTGAATGTTTTCTCATTCTATTTCAGAATACCTTATCATACTGTTTTTCTTGTTCTTGTGATGATGTGAGATGACATAATACCTATAGGATGAGATGAAATAAGGTGAAAGATATAGACAGTGTGATGTAGTGTTAAGTTTCTACATAAGGGATACATGAACACAAGCACTGTGATATGACAGTCAATCTGATAAATGAGACAGCTACCAATAAGTAATGAGTGGGTGGCACATACAATGTAGATACAATGGATAAGGGAATACGAATAGAGGGATAACTGGCATCCTGGGCAGGATGAAGCATGACAGCACAAGATTTCATCACATTACTTAGCATGACATGCAAGCTAAAACTTATTAATTTTCCATTTAATATTTTTAGACAAAAGTTGACTGCAAGTAACTGAAACCAAGTAACTGAAACCCATGCATAAGGGGGACTACTATATACAGAGTCTTTATATAATAAAAAATACTTTAAACTTCATAGGAGAAACAGAGTGTTAGAAGCATCTTAACCGTGGAAATTTATCCATCTAACACATATTTACAGAATAGAGACCAAACTGGTAAGTCCCACAGACATTAAGTTTAATAAAAAAAATACATATCTTAAACTCAAGAAGCTTCAGTTTAGAAAAAGTAAAAAAAAAAAGTTTATGGGCTGGGGATGTAGCTTAGTATAGAACACTTAACTAGCACACCAAGGTCCTGGAATTAAACCCCAGTACCACAAAACAAACAAACAAACAAAAACAACACTAAGCTTGAATATGAAAAGAAGAAAAGAAAAATGGGTTCATGTATCTGGACAGACACACATACCTGACCTCTGAAAGAATGTAAAAACTGAAGGAGAAGACTTCAGGATAATGGAGGTGATGGAGAATTATTTTTCTCCTTTTGTTGAAAAAAGCTTTTTGCTTGAATTTTTATCATGAATAAAAATTATAATATGCTCTCTTCAATTTATTAATGGTCTATTTGAAAAATGGTTTTAGAATTTTGGCATCAATATTCTTAAGTGAAACTGGACTAAAATTTTCTTTTTTTGTAGTGGTTTCATCATATTCCAAAGAAATTAGATTCCTTTTCATCTTTCATTAGCCTGCAAACCTAAACACAGAAATTACCTGGTCTTTAAAATATTGTGGAAGTTGTAATCAGTATAGATTTATGGCAAACTTAAAATGGGAATATCTTTGACTCAAAAATCTAAATTCTGTAACACTTGTACTACAGCACAAATAGATATGTACAAAGTTGTTCATGAGGCATTATTTATAACATAAATAGAAAATTAAAAACCTAAATATCCACCAAAAGACAAATAACTAAAGTTATAGATCCATGCTAAAAAATTAAAATTGAAAATAGGAATGGTGGTACATGTCTGCAATCCCAGCACTCCAGAAATGGAGGCAGGAAGAGCTCAAGTTCAAGGCCAGCCTGGGGTACACAGAAAGACACTGGTTCAAAACAAAAACAATAAAATTAGAAATGAACTAATATTTATATATTGACAAAAAAACCATCATGAGTATAATCAGGTAGTAAAAGACTAAAAGATATGCCAGTATGAAGACAGTTACAAAAAATTCTCTCTCTGTCTCTCTGTCTCTCTCTCTCTCTCTCTCTCACACACCCACACACATATATCTATATACACATTTTTAGTTAAACTGACATAAATGCATCTCACCAAGGTGCCACCAATCTATTAATAGTCGGCATTTGTGATGAAACACATACTAAGGGAAGAAAAAATAGATAATTCTCACTGTTATTTTTGTGTATTCATGTTAAAATAGTAAACACAAATTTACCATTTATTATTTTAAATATAATGAATAAGAACATGACTTGAAAGGAAGAAAGAAAAAATCAAGATGAATCTATGTACTTCAACATACAGTTAAGGAACTGTATGTTTAAGAAAAAAGAGATGGTAAGGGGCTGTTCCCAATGGAAGAAGTAGAGAATTGTCTACCTTTTCATGTTTATCTCTCTCCTTTCCCATATCTATCTGTCTTTCTCTCCCTAAGGTAGACCACAGGTTGAACAGAAAACAGCCAGAAGAGAGCATAACTGGTTTATTCAAGCTTACTATAGGTACCCAAATATTGCACAATTTCACTGTGAGACAAAACAAAGTAGGAGTAAAACATGGGCTCACCTCAGACAAGTCCATTTTGTTCTGCTCTATACAAAGGATGGAGGTCTATAAAGACAGAATTAAGAGGGTCACCATCAGTGGGTAAAGACATGAAGCAGCATCATGAGCCCACAAATGGTCACCCTTGTATGCTTGGGAGAATGACCTTGAAAAATGGCCTAGTTGGCCCATTGGAGCCACAAGACCAAGTTTTGACCTGGAATTTTATTTCCCTTCCTGGACAAATGTATGACTTTCCTTGACAGATTAAGACATCTCCTCTATCTTCAGAATTCTATTCCTAGAAAGGTATCATGGTGAAAAATCATCAATGTGCACATTGCTGCAAGAATGTTCACTGAAAGCTGGGTGTGGTGATGCACACTTATATAGGTCCTTTTTTTGATGGGGTGCAGTAGTGGCGTTTGAACTCAGAGTCTCACACTTTCTAGGCAGGTGCTATATCACTTGAGCCACTCCACCAGCATGAGAAACACTTATAATCTCAGCACTCTCAAGGATGAGACAGGAAAATTGTGAGTTCCAGGCTAGCATCAGCTACATAAAAGATGTTGTCACACACACAAAAAAATAATGTTCACTTTAGTCATTGCAACCATTCAAAAATTTCGAAGCAACTAAATCTCCAGCAAAGGAGACGATCAAAAAAGTGTCACATACAGCCAGACACAGAGGTGAACAACGTCATGCCAGCACTCAAGATCTGAGGCAGGAGGATCATGAGTTCAGGGTCAGCCTGAGCTAGGTAGGAAGACACAGTCTAAACAAAAAAAAAATAACGGACACATATAAAAACAGATATGTGGCACAGACTTTTAAAATGCTGTGGAACTTGTTTTCAGGATAAAAGGAGGCTACAGAAAAGTAAGTGCAGTATGACCCACTTGTGTTAAGCAATACGTACACATGAGGACACTTATTAAAATGCTGACATTTGTTTCCTTTGAGTGGGGATCTCAATTTTCTTCTTTCATTTGTAATGTCTCATGTTTTGACAATCAATGTTAACTATTGGTGAATTTAAAAATTAAAAATTACAAGAAATCAGTAATCACACTGAGCCGCAGAGGTGAAAGGCCCTCAGCAAAACGTGGATAAGAGGATCTCCTGGGGTGGTGGAATGGCTCAAGTGGTAGAGTGCCAGCCTAGCAAACATGAGGCCCTGAGTTCAAACCCCAGTAACAACAACAAAAAAAAAAAGTAAGGAGAGGAGCCAGGTTTGAGAGCTGTGTGGAAGGAGAGCTGAGTGGCAGGTGGGTCACAGCCCAACACTGTCAGTTCAGTGCAGAGCTGAAAAACACTGGGTTTGTTCTCCTGACCCTCCACTCTTCACTGGCCCCCTCACCTGTTCCCACCCCCTCACCATTTGCATTGTGATTGCCACCCTCTTCCTTGTTTGTCAGTTTTTCAAAGGAATATTCAGCCAGGAACTGTGCCCAGAGGAATCATAGCATCCACAGCAATCACTGTGACAGCATCAGGGTTCAGATGCCTAAGCTTAACAAGTGTGTTGTCAGGCCATTTCAAAAGCATCTAAAGGAGGTAGCAGAACTGGACAAGAGCACACCTGGAGAATCCTCTACAATTCTGAACTCTAACAATATAAAATATTCTCTAAAAATGGAAACTATTCTGCACTTTCATGGGAATGGAAGGAGATTTAGCATGTGCAATGTTGACATCAAGGGACTGACTGATCCACAAAGCCCAGTGGAAGACAAGGAAGCACTATTCTGTGCCCTTCCATGTGCTAGGACAGGAGAAAGGGGTGACCCTACCCAGCCTCATCCTGCCTTGTAGCCACTGTAGCAGGGAAGCTGCTCCATCCCTGCCTCACCCACCTGTGACTTTCATCTCTTTCCCAACAGGGACCAAACTGTCCTCTGGCATAAGGTGTCTGATGGCACCTGACCAGGCTTGCTCTCTCTCAGCTCAAGGAAGCACAAAGGCCACTGAAGGCCCATACCTTCTAGGACTGCTGTCCTGTGAGCTCCTGCCTCTTCCCTGAAGAGTTGGGTCTGGCTGAGGCGTCTCCTCCAGCTCCCCTTAGATGAGCATTCTTCTTCCCACAGAGGCAGGACCAATGGCTCAGCTGGGCCATCACACATCCCTACATCTCTGCCTCCCACTCAGAGAACTCACATCGTCCCCAAGCCGCAGGCTGGGGCTTCTTAGGCTCACTGAGGAAGCAGAGAGCAGAGAAGCTGGAGTCTGAAGTCGCTGCGCCTTGGTCTCAGCTACGCACTTAACCCTGGAAAAGATGACCATAGGAGATTCCATTAGCAACCCCCATGCTACCTTGCACAGAAGCACAGCACTCGATCTAATTTCAACTGTCAGGAGCTCACTTATCACCGCAGAGCTCAGCCCTGCCTTACTAGGAGTCCGGGCTCTGGAACCAACTGAGAGCCTGCTGTCCCACCTTCTAGCAGGGGAGACAGACAGGACACAGCAAGCAAAATAACCGACGACAGGGTCCTTAGGAGGGGCTAAGTGCCACACGGAACAGAGGAAAAGAACGCGGACCCCTGGGATGTCCCACCCCTATGACTTTGGACAGGTGTCAGTCACTGCTGCTTATGTCTACGCTGAAGCCGATGGTGGCACTTCCACACAGGGCTCCTGTGCGACGAGTGCAGGACTCCTGCAGCGGTACCCAGCTTCCACAGGACACTCTACAGGCGAGCTGTCTCCGCACGACTCAATGCACCAGCCCATCCATCTCTCCCTTGCCCAGGAACCTTGTCCCCAACAATCGTCCCACGGCCCGTGTCACTCGGCTCCGACGCCTCGAGCCCCAACCCAGGACCTCACGGCCCGCCACTGCTCCGCATGAGGCCTGTCGCCTCCTGGCTCCCTACTCCGCCAAGGCGGAAAAGCTCAGCAGCGGACCACAGCGGCAGCGGCAGCAGAGCACACCCGGCGGAGTCCTCCCTCCCGGCTCTTCCGCTTCCGGTCACGTCTAGGAACAAGTGGGCGCCGCGCAGCGCATGCGCTGTATCGGAGGGCGGGGGCGGGGGCTCGTTGTCACTGGGCAACGAGGAGGCCGCTTCTGACATTGTCGGCTGAGGGGAGACCCACAGACAAGAGCGTGCGACTGCCTTCCTTAGCTAGTCTCAGGAAAGGCCCAGGGAGGTGACCTTGATGCCTGATGATTCTCCTGTAACCCACCGAGGAGACTCGGTTCCTGCCATTCCAGACGCCCTGGTACAACCTGGTCTTGACCTTTTGCAAAAGGCACTGTAACGTAGCAGAGAGCTGTGGTGTCTGAGAGTGCCAGCCTTTCATGAGGTGGTCTTCAGGAAAGTGTGCTCTTGTTGCCTGTCAGGGACTGGGAGAAACAGGGCAGGTGTGTATTCTTCTTTCTGTGTCTACTCCTGCTCACCAAGCAGGCTTTTGTATACTTCATTTTCTTCTGTACTGGAGCCAATACATACCAGACACTGTTGATGCACTTTTCAAAGACAAGTGTGGGATCCATCTTACTTAATCTTCACTTGAAAATCTACTTTCTCACTCTCCCTTGCCTCCTCAGGGTTCACTAACAATCCAAAGCTCTTTGCGTGAATCATACCCCAGTTCTGTAACCCAGAGTTCTCCTGGAAAGTAACTGCCTGAGCCTTATCTAGAAGTTCCAGGAGAAAAAAATCTTGTTTTCCTCTTGGTTCCCCCTGTGAATTCTTTGTGCATCTGTAAACAACCAGGTTTAGAGATAAATAACCTATTTGTTTCAGGAGAAATTACATGATAACCTTTTCAAATATCTATAACAAAGTTTTAAAGACCTCAGAATATGGCAGGATCCCGGAGACAGTAGAGAAATCCCCAGTGGCAGAAACACTTTGTCTGTGTCCCAAGCCAGACTCTCTCCAGATCCTGATTCCATAAGAACAGGTACTTGCACAGAGGGAGAAGTTGCTGGTGATTTCAATGGAGCCTGGCAACTGGGCACACTATTGTTAATTATGCAGTGTCAACATTTGCTAGCCAATCTTGACATTCAGGGACCAAGAAACAGTCCAAAGTGTTTTCCAGCCATTGATCTGCCCTGGCTGTTGGACTCTGTCATTCTATCAAAGAGAAGGATTAGATCCACCCCCTTATTGATCATCCATAAAGCCTGTGTCCTGTCTTCTGTCTCATAGAGAATGACCACCTGCCCTACATGGCAGCTATAAATTTTTCCAGAAAATATCTCCTGAGCTCCAATCCCTAGACTTGGCCTATGGCAGGTACCTGTTAAATGGTGGCAGTTTCAGCTGTCTTCGCCCATATTATAGGAGACATTCTGATGCCATTTGTGCACCTTGCCATATTGTGGGGTTCTCCTTAGCCACCTTTTACACAGTTGTGCCAGTGGCTGCACCTAACCTTGCCCAGGACTCACCATTTGTCCAACTGAAGTTTTTAAGACAAAAATTAGACTTTCGGCCAGGTTGCTCAAGCTCTGTAGATTTTAACAACAATGAAAGCTCTCTTCAGGAAGTTGACCTTTGGCCAGCTCCTAGGATATTACCTCTAAGTCCTTGGAACATTCTGCCTATTAAAAGTGTTTTTTGAAGCCGGGCACAGTGGATCACATCTGGAAACCCAGCTACTTGGGAGTTGTAGGTAAGATGACTGCAGCCTAAGGCCCGCCTGTGCAAAAAGCACAAGACCATATCTGAAAAATAACTAAAGACAAAACAGGCTAGGGCATGACTCAAGTGTGAGACCATCAGTTCATACTCCAGTACCACCAATAGAAAAGTGTTTTGCATTATGTATGTATTCTGGATATCATCCCTTTATCAGAACTCAAAAACATAACAGAAATTATCTGAACAGACACTTCTCAAAACAAGAAATGCAAATGACCAATTAATATGAAAAACTGCTAAAAATCATTACATCAGGAAAATGCAAATCAAATCTTCAATGAGATAACATCTCACTCATTTTGAATTACTGTGACCAAACATAAAACAAATGTCAGCAAGAATGTGGAGGAAAAAAAAAGAACTCTGATACACTGTTAGTAGGAGTGTAAATTAAGCCACTATGGAAAACAATAAAGATTCCTCTAAAAGCTAAAACTAGAACTACCATAAGATCCAGCTAAACCAGCTATATTCCCTAAGGAAGCAAACTCAGCATACAAAAGAGATACCTGCATAAACATGTTTAATGTAGCAGTATCCACAATAGCTAAGATATAGAATCAGCCTAGATGTCCATCAATTGATGAATGGATACGGAAAGTATGGCATATATACACAATTGAGTATTATTCAGTCGTGAAGAAAAATAAAATGTCATTTGCAGCCAAATGGATGAAAATGGAGGTCATCACACTAAGCAAAATAGCTTATACCATGTGTTATCTCTCACATGGAAACCTAAAATAATAGTTGACCTGAAAGTAAAAGAGTGATTACTAGGGTCTGGGAAGGGTGCCAGGGGAGGGGGGATGGGTGTAGAAGAACATAGTTATGATCAATACATGCATGGAAATATCACAGTGAATCCCATTAATTTGTACAATTAATAGGTTAATAGAAAAGATGAAAAGGTGTTTTTGGAATTTAAGTGTTCACGAATGAATGAGTGTAGAAAATGTGGCATACACACACACTCACATACACAAGTGAAATATTCAACCTAAGAAAGAAGAAAATTTCATCTTCGCTACAACACAGTGAAATAAGCCAGATGCAGGAAGAAAAATATTCATGATCACACGTTTATGTAGAATCTTAAAGGAGAGAGAGAAGGTTAGATATACTGAGACAGAAAATGAAACAGGTTATATACCCACTCTCTTCAGCCATTTTTGCTCTGGTAGTGAAGAACTATGTTGAAGTCACTGTCTCATTGGATTTTCACAGTTGGTTTAGCCAGAGATCTTTTCAAAAGGCAACTTTTTGGTGGGGCAGGAAATGGAGAGATATGGATCAAAGGATACAAAGTAGCAGATATGTTGGATGAATGAGTCTAGAGAGCCAATGTACAACATAGGGACTACACTAGTGTAACAGGTATTTTTGTTAAATAGGTAGACTTTACCAACTCTTACCACAAAAGTAACCATTATGATAGCTCTATCTGGTTGCTTCATTATACTAGCCATTTTTATCTATATGTATCCCATAGCATCATGATATAAACCTGAAATAAGCATGATAAAATTCATTTTAAAACATAAAATTTTGATTTAAAATGAGTGCTTTTTGTATTCCAGGTATTACTGTTCCACTTTGACCAGATAGCTTATACTAATAGTGTGATTAATGGTGAACATCTGTTTGTGTATGCTTGAGATCCTGAGCCATAATTGGTTTGAACCCTAGGTACCTGGCACACTGATTTGCTAAAGTTAGTCTTATGGATACTGCATGCCTTTGTGGCTGACTTTTAATAAAAACCCTTGGATGCTCTTATGATTTGAATATGAAATGTCTCCCACAGGTCCATGTATTGGCAGCTTGGTTGCCAGTTGATGGACTTTTGGAAAGTGACTGGATCATGAGAACTCTCATAGAATCAAGGGATTAATTCCTTAATGAATTAATACATGATGGCATTATTGGGAGGTGGTGAAAAGTAGGACCCAGAGGCCTAGTTAGAGGAAGTAAGTAACTGGGGAGGGGCATGTTTGTAGGGACTGTATATTTTCTCAGCCCCTTCCTGTATTCCCTTTTCTTTGCTTCCTGTCGACCAAGAAGTGAGTTGCCTCAGCCATGTGGTACCATTGGTACCATGCTTTGCCTCCCCATGGATCCAGAATCAGTGGCACCAAGGACTATGGACTGAAATCTCTGAAACAGTGAGCCAAAACAAATCTTTCCTTTTCTTAAGTATTTGGTTACAGACAAATAAACTGGTCTGGGTAAGCTTCCCTGACTAACAACACTTTGCGTTTATTGTCAACACATTGTTTTTGGAAGAATTAAACACTGACCATATGACTTCATTAGGAGAGGATGACTGGTATTTTGCACAAGGTTTCTCCTGGACTTGGGCCATGTGCCTTTTCCCTATGCTAATTTAAGTGTGTGCACTTTCACTGTAATAAATACTTTACTGTAATA